AATTTTTGGTCTAAGATTCTTCAAATTTAAAATGTCAAGACATAAAGTAAATTAGTCCCTTACCTTCAGGAATTAGGAATTAAATACCTTTAGAATTAATAGATGAATAAATCCCCCCCTCCCAATACAGGCAAGAATTTCTTCTCCAAACCCATTTTAGCCACAGCCTTAGGTTACAGGAAGTGGTAGTAGCTCAAATAACTTATATACACGAATAATCCAAAACCAAGTGCTTAGCTGCAAAATAAATTTTAATCTTCTTTCTTTTTTTTGAGACGGAGTTTCACTTGTTACCCAGGCCGGAGTGCAATGGCACAATCTCAGCTCACCACAACCTCCGCCTCCTGGGTTCAAGCAATTCTCCTGCCTTAGCCTCCTGAGTAGCTGGGACTACAGGCGCCTGCCACCATGCCCAGCTAATTTTTGTATTTTTAGTAGAGACAAGGTTTTACCATGTTGACCAGGATGGTCTCGATCTCTTGACCTCGTGATCCACCCACCTCGGCCTCCCAAAGTGCTGGATTATAGGCATGAGCCACCGTGCCGGCCTAATCTTCTTTCTTTAGAAAAAAAAAGTAATGAAAGAAAAAGTAATGCGGCCGGGCGCGGTGACTCACGCTTTAGTCCCAGCACTTTGGGAGGCTGAGGCGCGCAGATCATGAATTAGAGTCAGGAGATGGAGACCATCCTGGCTAACATGGTGAAACTCTGTCTCTACTAAAACTACAAAAAATTGGCTGGGGGTGGTGGTGCATGCCTGTAGTCCCAGCTACTCAGGAGGCTGAGGCAGGAGAATCGCTTGAACACGGGAACACGGGAGGCGAAGGTTACAGTGAGCTCAGATCACGGCAATGCACTCTAGCCTGGGTGACAGAGCAAGACTCTATGTCCAAAAAAAAAAAAAAAGAAAAGTAATGCAACTGTAAAGCCATTTTAACAATGTTCTGAGAGAATGTGAGAAATATACAACAAGTACACAAAATACCAATCACAAACAGGTGCTCAGCACAAAGGAAAAGAGTTGACTAAGCCATAGGCATGTAGGCAATTTCACAGCCAGACACAGACTTCTGAGAGAGAGAAGTGAATGAAAACCAGTGTTATGGCATCATAGAGCTCACATGTCAACATAGCACACAGGCCATACTTCTCAAAAAAACATTTTAACAAAATAATTTACAGGTTTAACATTCTCTAGAATGCCCTGCTCTTTAGCAAACATTTGAGGCACTAAGCCAAACTTCTTAACAGCACCTTCTTATATTTGATGTCTCCAGGTGCATACTGTGGACCCTGACCTAACCCCAACAAGTGAGAACAACAGCTTTTGTTATATCACCACTAACACCTGGCTTAAGCTTTTCAAATTCGAAATGGAGATACCAAAGCCAATGATTAAAACACAGTGTTTGGTTAGGCATGGTGGCTCATGCCTGTAATTCCAGCACTTTGAGAGGCCGAGGCAGGCAGATCACCTGAGGTCAGGAGTTTGAGACCAGCCTGGCCAACATGGTGTAACCCCATCTCTACTAAAAATAGAAAAATTAGCCTGGCGTGGTGGCTAGTCCCAGCTTCTAGGGAGGCTGAGGCAGAAGGATCACTTAAACTAGGGAGGTGGAGGTTGCAGTGAGCTGAGATGGTACCACTGCACTCCAGCCTGGGCAACAGAGCAAGACTCTGTTTAAAAAAAAAAAAAGAAAAAGTTTGGGCTGGGCACAGTGGCTCCTGCCTGTAATCCTAGCACTTTGAGAAGCTGAGGCAGGAGGGTCACTTGAGCCCAGGAGTTTGAGACCAGCCTGGACAACATAGTGGGACCCTGTGTCTAAAAAAATTTTTTAACTAGCTAAGCATGGTGGTGTGTGCCTATAGTCCCAGCTACTCAAGTGGCTGATGTAGGAAGACTGCTTGAGCCTGGGAGATCAAGGCTATGTGAGTGACAGTCATG